CACGAAAATGTGATTGTATCGTATAAAGAGCATTTCGCCTCAGGGGAAAGGTAACGACCCTAATGAATATGAATTAGATTTCGGTCAAGCAAACATTTGAGGTTAAACCAGTGTATAAAATCTGAACCCCAAGTATGTGAAACTTGTGCACAGTGCACACATAATTTATGTGAATAATTTTGAAAATATGTGCACTATGATTTTATTATACAATCAAATTTGTATAGATCAATTTGAATATATATACGATGAATTATGTGCTCAATGTGCTCTATGTACGTATCATTAGTATTTTTATTAATTATTGTCACAGATGATCGTGGAATCGGATGATGGTGAAATTTGGATCTATTTTATGTACGATTTTTAAAATTTTTTTGGGCCCTTTTTGTTGGGTTTTGTTTTATAGTTAAGTTAGGATTTAGGATTAGAGTTAGTAATAAAAGAGTATGGGTGGATTTTGGTAGGGCTTATATTTTCAAATCGAGACCCCAAATTTCACTATCATCCGATTTTATGATCATCCGCAACAATTATTATGGTACACTATTGACCCAAAGATAGCAGATTACGTGCATATTTCTAGCCAAAAACATATGAAACCTTTTAAATAAAGTGCTCTGAGCACATTGTACACGTCGATTTTATACACTGGATTAAACAAATCGAACATCGACAAAAATACCTCAGAATTTGGATTTGAAAGCAATTCAATATCATCTGGCGGTTCCGATATCGAAAAGCAAACCAAGATGAATGAAAAACAAAGAATCCATAACTTGAGATAATATTCTGAGTTGAAATCTGTACCAAGCTTCAGATAAAGTGAATGAATATCTACTATCGAAGAAACTAAAGAAAGAAAGTATAAGATGTTTAAGTGTTCACGGATATGAAGAACACTACGCTGCTGTGAAACGATGTTAAACAACGCTAGTATTGTTGCATCAACCTAAAATATTGTAAATAAATCATTAATAGATTACAATTCAATATAGACCATTTAAACAATTAATACGCACCCATATGATGGCTTCCAATATAGGAGTCACAACCCAATAATTTCCGTGTTGATTCGCATGATAATCTTTCCATCTTATTATAGCAAGGAAACTGAATAGTAAACATATCATAGTACTTATAACAAGCCTGGTACCATCAAAGAGTATATTTTTAGAAGTTTGATTATTGACAAGATTTTCATCTGAATAGTCTGAATTATCATCAAAAACATCCAAGTCTGTCTCATTGTCATTTATCAATCCGGATCGTTCAATGGAGCCGTAATTTGAATTAAATTGACTATTAAACAACGTTCATGGTCTGGTCCATTATGTCGCCTCAATTTAAGATAAGAAGTTATGAAAACACATAATGAAGCAGTTGAATATAGTAATAAAACTCCAGCGTCGACCACACTAATTTTTGTCGGACAAAAAGTCAGTTATACGAAAATAAAAAATAAATCATTATAAATTATTTACACTTCTCTAAAACAATCCGTAAAATCATTGTTTTGCTACGGTCCCTAAAATACGTATATGGTACATCAGACAGGAATATAAATTTTAAGAATATTTGTGATCTTATTAAAAAAAAAGTTTATTACCCAAGAATCGCTACCACAAATACTCTCCATAATTGAACTATTGATCATATTAATGAGAAAGAAGAAAAATATTGCAATAGAAACTTAAAATGTCAAGCTATACTTATAAATACATTGGAACAATTAACACCCGGTTCACGACTAGGAGTTAAGGGATTGGAAATTTTTATATTTCATAATTGCCTATCCTTCAGTCTCAATGACGATAACATAAGAGTATCATATGCAGATTGGTCACTTACGCGATCTGCATATTGACACACTTGCACGTATGGATTCTGCGCCAGGTTATGTTGATCATGGTCGACAAAGTTAAGATAAAACTAAACTTTTGCCTATGAAACTGTTTTCAACGAATCGGACAATATTTGCAAATTCTTTCCCCAACAGTATCATTTCACCGACACAACATTTACCCGACGGTATTGCTTCTCCGACAATGTGGTAAGGGCTAAGGATGGCAAGTATTTTAAAACACAATGTTTTAAATCAGTTTTATATTGTTCTAAAAAGTTGTTTATTGTTTTA